AATTAGTACAACTCCTTGTGTCACAGTAAAACTGTGTACGTCCCACGTCAGTGGTGCGTCTTATCGGCTTAGAACGCACACTGCTCATTCTCTGGTGTAAGCAATCTGAGCTCCAGTGCGCAAAGTATATTATAGTGTTTTAGACAGCTGTTTTTTGTGCAGAGCCAGGCTTCAATGACGTGAATCAACTTGTGCTGGCACCGATAAGTTCTGATTCATATCGTTGCTGTATGAGTAGTGACCCCAAGTATCATAGACCACTAATATCTTATTATTATGTCGACAAGTGTAGACGCTAGCGATGTGAATTCTTTGGTAGACTAAATACTAGTACGTACACGTCGTTGGATAATACACCATTCTTATAAGTGGCGCCCTCTAGAGACGAAGATATCCGTGACGTCATTGGATGTAATGCCCGCAATTCACAGCGTTGATATTGTGGTATAATACTTGACAGAGTTTGGAAAGTTTGAACGAGGATTGGATGAGATTAATCAATGTAAAGAAGTTTATGTTTACTTATGTTCTAAAAAGTCAGGTAAATACTAGAGTTTCTAGAGACATCCAACAGTGCTCAAAAAACAAAAACAAAACAAGTGATTTTTTGAATTTATTAGAAGCTAAATCATCAGAGATTCAAATATTTCAAGCAGTGATAGCTGCTACGAAATGTTAAATTAGATCTAGAAATATCACAGTCTTTGTGGTTATTGCCTTCGTGAATTAAATGCTAGGATTTGCTAAAAAAAAACTAATTGGGAAAGTATTTAAGTTCAAAAAACTAAAAATATTATGTAAATGAAACTGGGTAATTATAGTTAGTTTAGCAACTAGTTTTAATTTGGCTCTAAAAAACGTTGAGGTATATCTTTACGAATTATCCTTACATAATACATGTAATCTATTTATGTCAAAGTTAAACAAAATAATCTTTCAATACCAAGGTATATAAAATTTGCTGTCAGATGCAGACGAGGTCAGATATGTATCGGAAAGATACACATACAATCAGCACTCAGTCTGGCTTTCCCAGGTATTATATGTGCTTTATATGACACAGAGACGGATATTGGAGGAACAATTCGGGGGGGGGTATGACCTCACGTGCGAGAGCGTCTTAACCTCCTTTGTCATGATCTAGGTCGCCAATGACCAAGATCATGACAATGACAGCATGGTGCTCGAATGAGGCTGCCGCCTGTGGGCACTCGTGTGCGTAGGCGTCATTGAGGCCTCATCTCCCTTGGCGTTTCGGTCATATTCGACTCGCCTCGGGACAAGGGTGACGTGTTACCCCCCCCCCCCCCCCGGGGGGTACTTGCATAGAAGTGCAATACGGGTATGTGCCGCCCGACTGGGGTGTCATTTCACGTTGGGTGGGTGGTCATTTATCAATGTTTTGATTTAGAAGTGTGTAGCATTTATTTACTCTTCCACAGGTCCTTATATTCAAAGTCAAATCAGCCAAATACCGGAAAAGGCTGAATAAAATGCATTGCCCGGATGCGCTCACTGATTGAAAGTTGTGAGCTGGGTGGGGTTTTTTTTCGCTGAAAACACTTGTGTTTAGAAGTGGGTATATAAATAGAAAAAAAAAATGGTTTAGAAGTGAGTATGGTTTACGAGAGGTAGGCTGTACACCCTTACCCACTTAAGGTGGAAGTAGCCCCCCCCCCCCGGCGTGTTACCCGAACCGAGTCATGAATCCCTGGCGACAACAACCCCCCCCCCACAGACTGTATTTATTGTAATGTAAAGGAACTACAGAGCTGATAAGAAAGGGACGCTAAAAATGCAGCAAAGTAATTGGTAAATGAGGATGACATAAGGGATAAAGCCAAGGATAGGCTGAGAATGTGGACATAGCAAGTCAAGGGTCATGACTGATAAATATATGCGTAAACATAAGACAAAGGATAGAGAAATACCACAGATAAGGAACCAGTTCAGATTGGTAACAAATATAAAGACAAGGGAAATGGCCAGTGAAGTGATTGACGAATGCTCATTTGCAGGCGCTGACTATGTATTTAATTGTGACGTTCAGAATGCGCTAAAAGCTGTGCTCTTATTGAAAGGGAAATATCAAATTGATTTAATGGATTATCAAATAATTATGGAAATAATAGTACTACCAGGAAGCAATGCTGCAGCTGCTAAAAGCGGCCAAGAGCTTCTTTATAATGTTTAGGACAAAAACATTGCTTTTCTCGTCCTATGCTCATAGAATTGTATCAAAGACATTTGCATAAGGAAGTCACATTACATAGGAACTAACACTGTTTGATCCACACGGAAAAATAACTCATTAAATTTCTGGATAGTGATGTGTATTATAAAATTCATTTACAAAACAACAACTACAGAAGACATTAAAGGGCGGCAGTCGTCGTGCCGCGTCCTGTTCGATATGGGACTCATAGCGACGTATACAACGCGTGTAAAATACATTGTTTATTTACATGGAATTCGAACACGCGCTGCGCGACGACCACCGCGCTTTAAAGTGAGCAACTTATTATTCCAGATATATACTGAAGTAACAATTTGAGATTTTTAAAATAAATGTATGCTCATAGTTAAACAATTGCATAAAGCTGAGAGAGATTGTGTCCAAATGTTGTTTGATCATAATATGGATATGACTGAAGTTAATTTTCTAAATAATGAATAAATTTGGACTGTTAATAGACATAAAAAAATTTCAAAAAGTAAATTATTATGGAAACGATTTATGGGTAGTTACTAGTAATACAACACATGGGGTTCAGTTATAAATATTGTTTTATTGAACTCGAAATAACATTAAAATGTATTATCAGATAGATTATCAACTAATGCTTCTAAACTAATACTTATACATTGATAACTAAGAGAAATGCTTAAAGTCAACCAAGCATAAAACCCAAATATTTCTCCATATTGCGTGGAATATCATTAATATATTAAGCGAGAGGGTCGTCACCTGCGCACCCGCGGGAATTGAGTTCCAAGCGACGATAACAACACACGCTAAAAACGCAAAGGCTCATGGGTAGACGCTTGTTTGTACAGACAATGGCACGCTATGGCCATGCGCAGGTGACGACTCCCCCGCTTTAACATTTTCACTTATAACCACCAGATCCTTTTTGTCTTATTCGTTTTTTTTTTCTTAATTTGATTTACAAAAACGATTCTTAACGTATAATTATACCTCATAACCTTTAACTCATTCAAATCACGTGATAGTTGGTATTTGGAAATATTTTCAGGATCATATATCTGTATCATAAAATTTTTACTCTGATTTACACGCCTCTCACGCCTTACTGTAGTAAGGTGTATGTTGGTATTGGTTTCTTTGAGATTGGAACGGGCTTCTTTTTAAATGGTGTTCTGGTTATATTCTGCTTATTTTTTGAAGTAATAAAATCATCAACATATCATATCCTTGTTTGATATACTTTGTAAATGTTGGCTCACTGAATTTTATCTGTCGACTCGTTAGTGGATTTCTAACTTAGTTTATCAAATGATTGTTTCCTAGTTGCTGGAACTTCATCACTATATTATCAGTCTTTTTAATTGTAATGTCCATTACATTGACCTTATCAAATGCGTTAACTTTATGACACAGATTCTTTCTCATTTTGAATATTAAGTAGACTACGTTCGAATAGTTATGAATAATTACTTTCATAATCATATGCAGGCGTCATACTTTCCGCCACATCTCTCAAATTGTTTTTATAGCCTTTCAGCCTGAGTGTTTTTAACATTTATCTGATTTTCTCGTCATATATATTACTAATATAACTTTTAAGTGTATTTTATATTTATTTTGGCGAATATCCTCACACACATATCTTATCAAACACATTCTGACATTACCGAATTAAAAACATATATATATATATATATTTAGAATCATTGAAAATATAGAAATCATCAAATATCGCTTTCCATCAAACGCACCTTAGCATCGTCACGGAAGAATAGAAAAAGCTATAGTAATAGTTTTTTAATTAATCTAAACAGCAACACAAAACTTAAATGTATTTTTTTTATTTGAACTGGGTCGAACAATAATAAAAAACAAACTCGCAAAATCGGAACTGTGGGACCGTGCTAATTCCTAATTTCCGAGTTACTAGTTTTCTCACGAAATCCGATAGAGGGCGTTCCCAAAGTATCCGGATAACAGCTCGTTCAACGTTCGTGGTGGGGTGAAATTTGTTCCTTTAAATTAAATTTTAATGACATTGTATGAAAAAAAGAAAAGTACTTCCCTTAGTTTTAATAGCGATAATAATGCAATACGCTAATAGGAGCTTTATAGAAAACTGACTGTGGCGTGATAAAAAGCACGTATGCAGTAGAGTGGCGAGGCTCTTGTTGTGATCCCGAGTTTGAATTTCCTTAAATGTTGTATGTTTCTTTGGTTATCATTACTAATATAATATTACTTTTAAGTGTATTTTATAATTATTTGTTTAATTGTGCTTTTTTTTATCAAGCGTCTATATGGCTGGGTACTTTTAACACCAAACAGTAATTGGTAGATCAGAGCCTGAGTACAATGGTTCAAGCGGTCATTCTACAGATCATTGGCTTGTTTAAATATCAACTAGTGACACACTTAGATAATTTTCCTTCTATTTCGGTTGCGCGTTTCCCCTAGTGTGCCACTACCTGCCATGTATCGACGGTAAGTAACACCTATATAGACGACTATCTTAGTGATTAGCCAGGTGTTCTGATGTGTGTAACACTCGTATATAAAGTATTAAAGTTTGAATTTATGTGTAACAAATTACCCAAGACTATATTAAATATTTCGACGACTTTGTATTGTAGACAAGTGTCTATCTTGTTACAGATTAACAACCTAATTCTCATGGTATCACTGTTTAATTTAACATTAAAAACTCTTCTATTTTACATAAAAAGAAATGGTTGTGGTGTCGCTGAATATTCGGAATAGATGTGCTTAATGATATGTGCGTCACCACAAGATGGCGTCTAATGATGATTCGCTTGTGTCAGTTGTTTACCTGAAGCGGAAACTTCATAATACCCATGATGAAAGAGCTCCACCAACGTATCAGAATGCAATTTACGTTTGTTTTTCATAACTTTTCATATTCTAGATATTCAACTTTTCATAACTATTATGTGACCGCTATTTTGATTCTCTACCAAAAGATTGTAGATTAAGTAAGCCATTATAGCTACTGAGAAATACTGATGCGAATTCTCAATGTGAATATTTCTCTAGTATAGAATTAAGTTAAAGTGCCTGTGCAATGCCCTCTCTCACGTTTCCCATTTTAGATCTGTGTCCCACTGAAATGGGCAGTTATTGATTTTTTTGCTGAAAATAATTACTCGTATCCAAGTAAATTTGGGATATTTCTCGTGTTGTAGCCACGCCCACCTATCCTGAAACGGTCGACTGTTTCCGGATTTCCGACTCTTGCCGAAAGTGCGCCACCAAATGCCAAAATGTGAGAGGAAGTCATACCCCTGAGCCGTAATAACACTGATCATTCAGTATACTTTTAAACGATATACATTTTTCGGTCGGCGTTTTTTTCTCTTTTTTTTTGTCTATTTTTTTTTTTTTTTTTTTTTTTAGAGAGTTTTTAGATGTTGTGTTATGGGCAGTTGCAGTGAAACGTGTAGTCATAGTGTAAGTATTCACACGTTTCTAATCGATCCGAAAGTACGACATCAGTGGACGAAAGCCACTTAACCACAGCTTCTTCATTTTTTGAAAAAACTGTCCTCGTCCATGAAAAAAACAACTAGGTTAA